ATTTTCTCGATGTCTAGTAGTGCAACAAGATCCAGATCCGTGAATATACCAATACGTCGCTCCGCGCGGCGTTGCATGTCTGGATCCACAATGTAGATCTGAGCAAACTTTGGAGCTTCCCGCGCGCCTGTCCGACGGTCTATGTGGGGGAGGAGAGACCCTAGGTAGTGCCCCATAGCCCCTTGAATGCGATATGTGTACACGCCGTGTGTACCCGCAACGCTTTCGTCTTGGTGTACATTTTGAAAAGATCGGTTTGAGCACGAAGCGCCAATCGACGTAAATGCAAAAGCTTGGTTGTAGACACGGATTTGACGGCGAAACTCGGGATCTCCGTACAGCTGAAGCAATTTTGGTGGCGCGGAATGCAGTGGAGGCAGCTTTACCCTGCCAGCCAGACAGCATGATATCGCAGACTCCGAAGGCCACTTCCAAGCACGGCAGATCAGACAAATCGTTGTAGCCGGTAGCTTGTGTCGACCATTGACCACGTCGTAGCCCGTAATCTTTGATGCGTCGAAGTCTTCGAGGGAAATAAGAGCATGTCCATGACGGACACATTGTCGTCGAGTGCGCACCCGCTCGAGCTCGTACTGGCACTCGTCTTCTGTCTGCTCAGCTCGTCGATCAGCATGCCGTTGTCGGTCCAGCTCGCGTTCAGCCACCATGTGCAGGTCCGACAGGTTTGCTCGCCAATGCGCATGTTGCTGACGGTTAAGCTCGTGCATGTTCGTGTTGCTGTCCTGACATCTGTGCCCGTCGACTCGCATGTTACAGGCGGTCTAGACAGCGTACGGCTTCCCGGTCTGGTTCACTTAGCTCCGCTCTGTGTGCTGTTTGCTGCTGTCTATTCTGCTCCCGCTGCATGTGAAGCTCTTCTCCGCGTAACTGAGCTCTCCGGGCGCGTTTGCGCTCAGCGTCTTTCTTTCTCATTTGGTCACGGTGAGAGAGTGACATATTAGCTCGTCTCGTACGAGCTCTCTGTGCGTCGCGTGTACGCTCACGAGCTGCCTGAAACAACTTCCTGCTAGCTCTTTTTTCGCGAGCCCGCTGCGCAGCCGAGACAGGGGCCTTTTCTTCAGCCGTTGACTCAGATACGACAGGCGCTGTAAATATAGCCATATCCTCGGTTCCGGCTTGATACGCCGCCTCCATTTCAGCCGCAAAACGGCGCTGGTGTACCGCTGGATCAGACGCTTCTGGCTTTTCCTCCCGCTCTTCCAAAGCTACTGTTCGACCTTCCGTAACCTCCATAGCCTCCGTCACATCTTGGTGAACGCTGAGGGCCTGAAGCGCATTGTTTAAGTCGCAGCGCTTCCTCCTGCGCTTGTTCAAACGTCGTTTCCGTGCGTCCTTCTTCTCTTGCATGGGTGTCGCGTTAATGCGTTCGCTCTCGCGTAGGGCGTCCTCGAGCTCCTCGCGCGTCCTCTTTCGTTTAGTCCGAGCCAATGTTCTGCGAGCACGAAAACGTGACGCGTTAGACATAGTCAAAGTACATTTCATGTAGCAGTAGGGTTTCATACAGTAGGAGGTTGGACATCTACGTACCACCCGGGATTTCTTGCCCCCCATCAAGGTTATCTCGTATCACTTATCCCACAGTCACGGGCCGTGAGGCCCGGAGCGGTTTTAGTTTGCAAATTGTGCAGTCGAATCTTCAGGGTTGGGCCCCCGAATAGTAATGTAGTTTGAGGTGCGATATCCTTTTGCCAAAAGGCGGCCGTTAATTGCAAAGGCTGGTTATTGATAGGCTAATACAGCCCCCATCCCATCTGTCGGTTAAAAGAGGCTAGTTACGGTACCCCTCTTGACCAACTGCACGCACGCAATGTGCGTGCCCAACAATAACCATTAACGACCGGCTCAACTGGTTCGCTGTCGGGTTTGCGGTCAATGGACCAGGTGCCAAATGTGCTCTCGCGCAGCGTGGACGGTGGGATAAAGCCCCAAGAACCCAGAGGGCTCTGGAAGTAAATCCCCATAGCACGGCTACATACTTGCAGGATAAAATCCCGCAAGTTATAAGCTCTGCTCTAAGCAGCCCCAGGAGCCTCGAACTATCTGTGTATGTGTGTCTTGATGACTACTAATGTTTACTAACATGCATACACGCAGCGTGCGTTGAGTAACGTGGGGCTCTGCGGCTTCTGTTTTGAAAATGGGGGCAAATGAAATTTGAACGGTACTTTTGAGTACGATGTGTAGTCCACATACAATAAGTGCAACACATTATGTTAATTTTAGCCAGTTAGGGCCGCCTTCGCTGCGCTCGGCAGCAAGTAGAACGACCGCATTAGCGTGAGTTTTATTAACCCCAGCCTCGGAAGGTGTGACAGACGGACATACATCAGACGGTAAGATAGGGTATAAGCTGTTCATTGACTCGTACATGTAGGTGCTGACTTGTTTTATATAAGTATTAGGAGAAAAGCCTATCAGAAAAAAATTAAAATTAAATTATGGCGTCCTCTTCGAAGATGCTTCCTGGGGCTCGTTGCTCTCTGTAAAAAAAAAATAAAGCGTATAACCCCTCAAACCCGAGAGCCAGGGCCGTACACGCTACCATAACATAAAATCTCCGACCTCCGACAACCTCCGACCGTAACAAAAGCAGTCCATAATTGTGTTCAGGTTATGTATTTGTGTACTAATTGTGTAAGAAGCTTAGGGGATCAGGTTTTGGGATAGGCGAGGCCAGAAATATGTTTGTAGCGAGTTTGTAGCCGCAATCTTAGGCTCTGAAACGGCCTGTGGGCTAAGAAAACGGCAATTTATTGATTATGCATTTTTAAGCCCGGATGGGTGCTCACTCTACACTGCAAAAAGCGAAGTGAGACCCCGGGTCAGAAATCGGAGTCGACTAATTGAAGCAGATCATTCCTTTTTACCAACACTTTTTACACGTAATTACGATTAGCAACGACTGGCTACCCTTATCAGTAAGTTGTCTCTAAACGGTTCGCATGTGGGGCCGCAAAAATAAACAAAGCTTCAATCTTGTTTTTTTTGGTAAGGGACAAGTCGCCCAGCCGCTACTACTTTATCATCGGTTCGCTAGATTATCTGCGTGTTTGTATATTTCGTGTATGTGCGATATGTGGCCACCTCTGCTGTCTATGCGATGTGTGCTTGCTTGCGTTGAGGTTAATATTGCTGTTCTGAAAGGAGGTTAAGCTTTGTGCTTGACGCAGCACTCATATGTGTGTTTCGTGTACTCTGTAACGAGGTCATCTTTGCTGTTCTAAATGGAGGTTAAGCTTAGTGTTCAATACGGTGCTACCAATGCATAAGTTTAGGTACTTCTTCTTAAGCATGTTATACACCCAGTATTAGCTCTTACTGCTTACTCTGCGTTACCTTCTGCGTCGTTGAGTGAGTTGTCCTCCACAGCATCGTCCTCGAAGAAGCGCTTGCGAACAAGAAGGCGGCGCTCCTTTTCGAAGGCAGCAACAACAGACTTGTGAATGTGCTCCCTCGGCCTATATGTTGGCTGCCAGTCTACGAGGTAGTACGTCTGCCGTTTCTTGCGCTTCCACGTCATCACCGTGCGTACGTGGTGCTGCTTTTCGCCGCCTACATGATCGTCGTCATCTTCAGATGGAGGAGGCTCGACTAGCCATTCGGGAGCATCATCAAGGCCAGCCCGCCGCTTCTTCCGATCCTTCATGGCTTCGTAGACGACTTGAATGGCTTCGGGAAGAAGGCTTGCGGATGCGACGATCGTGTCCAAGGTGAGTCGAAGGTGGCGAATCGCCTCATCATCCAGGCGAAGCTTGTACGCCTTGCCCGTTGTGATACACAGGGTCTTGAGCTCTTTCCAGGAGCTAACAGGGTGCTTGGTCGGCTTGATCGTTGGCATGATGAGCAGTCTGACTGTAAGGTGGGTTGTAAATTGCAGAATGGTTTCAAGGTTGAGCAAATCGAAAGGAAACGACTGGACAAGACAAGTAGCGTGTTATTACTGGATGCAATCTAACGCTATGACTTTATTCGTATGCAAAGGTGCAGGGTCGGTGATGCGTCCCGCAGCGTGAAGTTGGTGGTAGCTACGGATATGATCGTTGAGAATACCGCTCTTGTGAAGCCTTCGCATGGACTTCAATACATTTTGGGCTCCACGAGCGGTGATCTTGCGATCTTGAAGGAAAATTACCAGCTTTCCCTCAGCTTGTGTGCCCAAGGCCAGTACTTCATCGCGATACGTTGGTGATTTTTTGCTCAGCTTGAAGCCTTCGGGGAGAAACAGCTTCATCAACGCCACGATCATCTTGAAGGTAGACCTTGCGTGCTTTGTAGCCGCGTCTGTCGAGCGCCACATTCGAGGTTCTTGCGCGTACCAGGAGTACCATGCGTCTTTTAAGCTCGTAGCGGCAGAGGTACGACCGCTTTCCCGAGCGCGCTTCGTGTTGGCGGGCGCAAGATCGTTGAGGCTCATACTGAGTCAGAGATGTCGGAGCTTTCACGTTATTCGAAAAATATGTGAATGACCTACAGTTTGTAAAGGATATCAATAACTGGACCGCTCCCTCCGACCCGATATGTCGGAGCTCGCTCCAACGAGATTCAACCTAACCCTTACCATTCGGATTGGCCAAATCATTTTGTCAAGACCGTATGATTGGCTGTCTAATAGATAAAAATGGATGATTGGAGATTAATGCCAATACTAAAATTAAGTAGGGTCGGAGAATTGATGATATCCATCCATAAAATCTTAGCGTGTACGGTCCACGATAAGGATTGCTATACTTGGTTTTTGTAAGCGTCTTTACAGTTTCCAAGTGAACGAGGGGTAGGTAATGTATCCTTGAACTCCAGTAGCTCGACAAAAATAATACGATTAAAAAGGCAATAAAGCGCGTAGCAAATCAAACTCACACAACGCAAATGCAATGTGACCATGACGTTACTGAGCACCACTGCTTTTTGCTGTCAGTTTCAATTTCGCTGCAAAGGGCACTAGTCTCGGTGCTGCGGCACGCAATGGCTTTCCAAGCAAGATGGAAAGAACTTATGAAGGCCGGATGGTATGCAAGAAGCCTACCGGATTGTCAGTCGACTTCGCGTACCTGAAACCTGGGAAGACCAAGAAAGACAAGCGCGGGGAGGACGTTTTTATCGGAGAAGAGGAACTAATGCGGTCTCTCGACAAAGCTGACCTCGGTTGAACTTGTGAAACTAACTGTAATTCTGCTAGACATTCGTTACACATGTGGATATGTAGCGGCGCTTCAGGCAAAGAAAACCGATAGGCGGGGCGGGTCTACAAACGCAACCGTACGACCCGAAAACCAAGGTAGTGTGCTGCATTTTTGTTCAAAAGAAAGAAACAATCTGACAATACATATTCAGTGGTAATCAGCAGCAAGACACATCGACCGATGCCTAGCTTACGTCTTCAAGAAGACGTGGCACGTTCAGACGGAGGTTTGACCAACAAGATGCACATACACGTTTGTGCATTATACAAACTTGTTTATGATGTATGTTGTACAGAAAATACTTCAGGCGCCATCGCAGAGCTGCCAGTAGCTGCGAATGATTCTTATGATCTACCGGGCCCTCAGTCGAGTGTTTTTATATGTGTCTCTTCTCATGATACGTCCTGTATTGACGAAGTCATCAGCTCTGACGACGACAGTGTCAACAGCCGTAAGTTCCTCTACATCCAGGTACAACATAAGAATGGTATACTAACTTGTATTTGTGGTCGTAGTGTAGGGACAACGCAGCCTGAACCAAACCTTCGTGAAAACCGCAGTTTTGAATACTGCTGAAAGTTGCTCTCCCGAATCATTTCGTGCTACTCTGCTGGACAAAGAAACAAAGGAAGATACAGCAAGTTATGAACCAGGTTGGTGAAACATGTATGTACAAGTTATCCGCTCTGTCTAACCTGTATGTACTGTTATATGGGCTTAGTAGATCGCCGAGGTGAGTCGGTGTTGGCTATCAGCCGTTCTGCTTGCGCTTCGATCGATTCGGATGGAGATAATGACGAGGGAACAGGATGGGGCTCGGAAGAATTGACTTGGGACAGTGAAATTTTGTTTGGGCTTGATGACGATGGTCTACCCGGTCTGAGATATCATTTGACCCAGTCGCCTGAGGACTGTAGGTGGTATTGAGGCTGTGTCTTCGGGCAATATACCCAGTGAACTTCTAAAGAACATGGCAAAGACTGGATGGAACTCGCTGTCCAAGAGGACCCCAAATGACTACCTGATGACGCCATATGAGCAGCGCCCAGCGTCTTCTATGCTTGAAGACTATCCCAGGCCCTATAATGGTGAATACGGTCCTACACCTCCTGTACTGTGTGCTCTCGTTTGAAAGGCACCGATGGTTCGCACGGCGGGGACTCTTCTATCTATTGCAGCGACTGCAAACTGACGACGCTGTCCAAGAAGCCAAAAGCGTTGCGCGTGTTCCTGTGCGATAAGGTTCGGCACCGACACAATGGTCCTCTCATGTCTTATTTCGAGATTTGGCATAAAGCCTGGCGTAATGGTACCCTTCTACCGAAGATGGCTCGGAGGACGAACATCCGTGCGCGTGTGCCGGCGAAGGAGTCACTGAACGCGGAAGTGTGTGAAGAGGGAGCCGAGAAGCCCAGCGAAGTACCAACCGACGATATCTCACGTCAGATAAAACGTGCGCGTGCGTCCGAGACGTAGGAATAAACCATTGTTGCGTCCTTATACTTCTCTTGATTTCAGTATACTCTTATTTGTACTTTCTACTGGCGTTTTTATACAGCTCTAGCCATCAAGCTATTTATGGGACGATTCTGGCTTTGGCGTGTGCTAGCCACTGCATCCAACTGTCTATTACTTATCCCATACAAGATACATGATAAAATAGATTTCCAGGATCAATATCGTGAATATACACGTTTGTACGCGAGTCAGTTCTTAGAGGGTAGGTACATTTTGTATCTTTCCAAAAGACACAATTATACATGATACCGTTAAAACCTCCTTTCAGTATGTTTCCCCTTACCCCAGCTATACACGTTAATTCGGTCGATGGGGCCTTCGGGTTCAAGGGATTAACAGCTGCATACCTCCAAACTATTGCTGCGACAAAAATCGTGTATACTGGTTCAGCTGCGCTTTGTAAGCCGGAATGGATGGTTGCACCTTATTATACGGTATTTAGTGTATACGTGCTCTTGATCAAAGGGTGTTGCCACCTTCGAGGTTTCCCCCTCAATCCCAGACTTGCTGAAACGGGGAAGGGGTGTTGGTGCGTTGCCTTCCTATCAACCAAGCTACTCATACATATTTTTACCTTCAAAATGGCAAATTTGTTGTTCAATGTGGCAAAATGTAAATTTAAACTGTCATGGTGAAAAGAAGGGGCCAACGCTTTGATTTCACTTGTTGGATTGGAATATCGCGCCATTAACGCCGTCAATTGCTCACCATGGGTGACAGGCAAAAGTTGTGGCACCTTCGTTAGTCGTAATGATGGTGGGTGAATGCAGCGTCCCAATAAAGACGGCAAACGAGACGGTAATTATCGCGCAAAGTGTTTATTGATCAAGACCTGTACTATCTAATCAACTGTCATATTCCCTGAGTAGTTCGAATTGCTTTTGATCGACTTTCAGACTACATTTTGGTATCTTGAGCTACGAATTTGCAATTTTGAAGGCGAAAAGGTGTAGTGCTGCCTGCTTGCATAGCCTTTGAATACCACGCATCTTGTGACGGGATCACATAGCACCTTGCACAGAGAAAGTGCTTAAGGGTATATACTACCCAGGTGAGCGTTAGCTCCCGGTCTTAGTAGAAGCGGTTTGCTACTTAGACGAGTAGATGTAAGACTGATGTATTTATAAGTAAATTAGTTTGGTACCATACAAACTAGAAATCGCATATAGTGGATCTATGTAGTTATGCACTGATACTGGGAATACCTAAGGAGGTATGGACAGCCCCCAACGGGTTAATTCTACGGTACTGCGTAACGTAACCTCTGTCAACATTCGTACGACATTCAGGTCAACACACAACAGTGAATAACATAGCACGCCGGCAGACAACAGCTTCGGAAAGCCAGGACGTCACGCTGTTAATCGGCGATTAACGTTTTTCCAAGGTGAGTCAGCGGTCCTTAATTTTGACAGGTTTGAGGTACTGATTGTGTGGGTTTATAGGTTAAACGTGCCAGTGAAGTCGCGGTGGGAGCTCATCAGAAACATGAATTCACCCACGCCAGTCGCTTCAGCATCATGTGCCTCGTGTGTAGAAGTACCTTTCTTGGATAGGTAGGTCAACAGACCGCTTGATGTGGCCGTCTTGGCTGAAAGAAGCACTTTCGCATTCTGAAGCTACAGACCACCAGCCGTTTGGTGAGGTTAAACCGTCAACTACGCACTGATGAGCTGTAAAATTGCTGTGAAATTCCGCACTTGGAAAAAATCTTCCGGGTCACTATTAAAATTGTTCTCTCTTACTACCAGCCATCAATATTGACAGCTCTATCCCAAAAATTCGAATTCAGTTGATCAACGGACTGTAAATGACGTAAACTGATCAGATTTCGTTGAACTGTCGTATCTTATTGTTTTTGCCACAATGGTGACGCGACCTAGATCTTCGTTTGATGACGATCAACCGAGAGGAGACCCAGCTGAAAGGAAGCGGCAGCGTAAGGCAGCTTATATGCGTGAATATCGGGCGACAAAGGGTAGATCAACGCCAGACTCAATCAGAGCACGTGAAAGGAAGCGAAAAAGAGCAGGATATATGCGACGTTATCGTGCGGCGAAATACAACGCCGACAGCGTTGCTTCTGAATCGAAACATGAGGAGTGTGCTGTAGACAATGGGTTAAGTCGCTTGAAACTGTTGGCAGAATCAATTCTTCAGAAAAGCAACATTTCGGAGGAAGAAATTGAATTGATGGCAACGGGACAGAATTTCTCTTCCGATCCGAGGTTAGCGTTAGTGTACTACTATTGCTGTGCTGGCCACCCCGGAGCATTCGTCTTTAACGATGAAAGTATTCGTGAAAATGGAGTTGTGACGGATAGACTACTAAATTCATTGGATACACCCCCGGCAACCGCAGAATACACTAGGTGCCAAGACTCTGCGGCTGCTATGGACCCATCTAAACGTGAAATTTTCGCTTGTGCTTCGTGTTGTGAATTTCTCGTGGGAGAACGTGGCCATGTAAGTGTACCATTTTCTCAGCTACCAGAAACATTTCTAATTTCAACAGAAGAATATGGACAACGTTATGGTGAAATCGCAGATGATGTAGTCAAAACATACGCACAGGTTCTTGTTCGGCCGAGTGGATTAAAATATTTCCTGAATCCTGAGCTTGTTCATGATATCGAGAACATCCTTCTCTGTTCTAAATGCACCTTGAATCCTCGGAAGTCAAAGTTTAGCCTGGCCAGTGGACATGACTACGGACGAGGTGCAACGCTTCCTCATCTCAATGCAATTGGAATGAACTGTATTGCTCCCGTTCGCTGTTTTGGTTTGGAGCTCTCCCTATCTGGCAAGCATAGCACCGGTCATTGCATTTGTTTTCCTTCTAGCGGGCCCCCAGCTTGTGCTAAAGTTCTTCCTGCTACTGATGTTGAGCGCAAGCCACGAGTGACATTTATTGGACCTGTTGAAGAATGGAGAGCTCGAAAACACAAGTTTGAGGTTTGTACGATCTACCACATACCACCATTTTTTCGTGGCTTTCGGTATTAAAGGAAACTCACAGTTTTTTTTCGAGAAGAGGGCATTCACATCGATGACTCTGAATCTCAAATTGAACAATTGGCTGAATTTTAAGATTCTATTGAGAATGACGTCGTCGTCAATGATACCGCTGAGGTGAATGCTGTTAATAACGTTGTCAATTCTGAGCGTTATGGCGATGATGTTATTAATACTGGAAGTCATGAGGTTATTGTGCAACAATCCGCTGTATTGCAACCTGCAATGTTGCAAACCGATGAAGTAAAACCTACTATCATTAACGTAATGATGGACGTAGTTGGACTGAAAGAAAACGTGGCAGTTGTCAGAAGAGGAGCAACTCCAATTGTGGAATGGGATGAAAACAACCGCCTGGTTGCAGGTGCATTTCCTACGCTTTTCATGTTTGGTGGTGGTATGCTTTCTTCCGGTTCGTTTCCAACTGATTTTACTAGGCATTTGATGTGCTACTATGATGGACGTTTTGAGAGTAACGTTACGCTTACTGCAACACTGTTCAACCAGTTGCAGCGTCATGCTGCTGTAAGAAAAGCAGCTCGAGCAGCAACAACGCATGCCAAAACGTTAAAAAGGCTTGGACGTTTGGCAAGCTCACCTGAATTCAAAGCGTCCCTGTCGGCAGCAAAAAACGACCCTGAATCCCCTGACGCTAAACGTTTGAACGCTGGTCTATTGCGTATACTATCGGTCGTTGGAGGTTCCGTACCGTTTTCACCATTCGAACGCGCTGCAACTCGACCGAAGCTAGCAGCGATGCGTTTTAGGTTTGGCTTACCTCAATTCTGGATAACCGTAGCTCCACCGGAGCAAGATGACGCTACTCTCCATTGAATTATGCTGCTTCGTAAATTTGGGGCTTGGAATGATAAGACTAGCATTTACACTCGTGCTGATTTCAAATGGTGCCAATTACCTGAAAATTTGAAAGCGAGTCCAAGGCTCCGCTTGTCAATATCGAATTCGTGTCCTGCTTTGGCTGCCTTGTTTTTCGAAAAAAGCTGAATCTCGTTTTGAAAGCGATTTTGAGATGCCCCGCTTCACAAGATACTAGAGTGAGCCGCAATTATTTGGAGCGAGAAGCTGGCGCATACACAAAGATTGCCGGGTTTAACGGTGTTATCGAACCTCAAATGGATGGGCGTCTACATTTACACATGACCGTATACTGCTCTTCTTTTACGCCGGAGATTTTAACACGAGGTGCATCTTCCGAGAAAGTACAGGAGTATATTGCGAAATGGATGGATGCTGCTTGTACCAACCGATTGTCAGCTACAACAAGAGAATGGCTAACTCGTTGGGAAACTCACAGGAGAAAGTGCCACTTCCGCGAGCTTGTGAAATCTCGTTACCTCAAGCACGGGAGAACCTGGAAATATTTAAAAGTGCTGTGGAAATGTCGCTTTTGGCAACGTATCGGCACACCCACTCAAGAACGTGCATTAAAGGGAAACGTGGGAAAACTCAATGCCGTTTATGTCGTCCTGCAGGAATTCACGACTCCGAGACGCAACCACTGCATATAACTCGCAGTGAAAGTGGATGTAAAGGTGCTCCATTGGATTCAGAGACGAAACAGAAATTAGATGAAGGTTACGATCCAGAACTTGGAGAATTTCTTAGACCGTATATTCCAGGTCCTATTGTTTGGGAACAGTTTCGACCAGAGTCCGAAGGAATGTTTGTTGAACAAACACACTATTATCGGGATTAACAGGGTCACATTGCAATTCCAGTGTAATGAATGGGGAAGATGCTGGGGACATGGTAGACGAATACCAGTAGAACTATATGACGAAGGAAGGTTCAGGATTAAAGAATGCTGCATCTGTGATGTTGACCGCTGTTGAAGATGCTATAAAGTACCCAAGTGTTGCAGAAGACTCTGGTACACCGATCCGCCAGGGTCAATATCTAGCAACTCGAACCGTAAATGCCTT